GGTCAATCCTGCAAACACTTCTTTGAAGGAAGAGTATTTGCTGAAATACTCACAAGCAAGCACTGCATTTGGGAGTGTTCGCAGGCTTATGCCAAAGTTTTGCAGTTATTAATTATCCACACTTTTCTGCTGGTTTGCCTCTTAGTTTTTTTTCAATGGAAAATCTGGCAGACTGCAATGCAGTTATTGAGCTTCTTTTTTATTATTATTATTTTGCATTTATTGCCCCTTGAAGTATTAATGTCCTTTTGTCATTGGACTAGGGAAGAAGGTTGAAAGCTTGATAAAACAAACCATTAAACCTTTTTTAGTTGACTGGTTTACAAACCTGAATTGAAATGGTGAGCGAGGTGCCGCAGAAGTGTTTCTCCACCACATTGCCAACCCTTTGCGCCATACGAAATAAATCGGCCACTTCCTCAGGACTCAAGTCACGGAAACGCTCCACCGGCCGCAGAGGACAAACAAGGACATCTGAAGGTGGTATTGTCAAGGCAGAAACACAAGTCTGAGTGGTCCAGTAGGACAAGTGACCCAATCCCTAGCCTGTAACCTGCTTCTGATCAATTCTGAATTGCCTAAATTCCCCCTCTCCAAGGTTTACAGCAAGAGCAACTAAAACATAAGGCTAAATACAGGGAATCATATGATGCTTCATTTGGGAGAAGTTTCCTCAAACCCCTCAGGTACGGGCAAAATTACTAAAATAATGTCCATGTGTTACTACTGAGACATCTGAAGGAAAGCGAAGTTTTCACAGTCTCGAAGTTACCATTTTGATGGAGAGATGCTTGTATTTAACACCTCTGAAAGTCAGAGACATTTCCTTTTGTGATTAAAAATGGGAGAAAGCCAAAGGAATTTAACATGGGTTTGGGTGTGTGATCTGAGACAGCAGTTTTACAATGCTTTTCCACATACGTGGTACGTATTTTTGAAAATCTTGATCTTACACCTCTAATTTTAGGCACCTAAATGTGAAAAAAGCTGACATTATGCTGATATTAGCAGATCACTTATCTCTACATCACATTAATTAGCATTCACAAGGAATGCTCACCTGTCATAAATATTACATGTTTTTAGAAATACATTAAGATAATTAAGACTATTCCCTTTTAAGCGCGGCGTTCACAACGCTGCAAGTATACTTTGATTTTATTCTACCTTGGTGACTGTGCTTTGTAAGTCAGTGAAATGAAGCTATAAAGTAAACAATGGAAGTACACAGACGCTATTCAGAGTCACCTGATCTGCTGTGTTCACAGAAATTAATAATTGCTATGATTCCTCACTTGAAAGCCGATTTTGTAACATTATTAATAGGGTGAAGAACTCTTAGCAGAACCTCAGTTGTGTAAATCCAACAAGCAAGCACTTGGGACTTGATTCTCATTTCAATTCCCTGCAGACAGGATTTTTTTTCTGACTTACAGTATTGTGTTTGCAGAATAAAGACCTTAAAATCACCTTTAACATCACTTGAACTTTCATGACCAAAGGCTATGAAAATTAAAAACTTCTTATTTTTTCAGTATTAAAATGAGTGTTCAAAGGACTATTTGAAGAAAATTACGTTTCATGCCATTGTATTACAGTAATTTTTATTTTTACTGCATCTTGAAGACTGCAGGTATTCAGGAATATTCTCTATACTCCATGAAATGTAACCAGGAGATGCTCTGTAATTAACAGGTTCACACAAAGGTTACCTCAACCTGATTTTCAAGAACTGCATGAAATGTTTGAAATAAAGAAGGTTTAATACATGCAAAAGATAATTTATTTCCATAAACACAGAGACAACACATTTACATTCACCAGGTTTATCATAGGAATTGCATTTATAATTCTGATTGGAGGGAAAACCAGACATATTCTGGAAGTAAAGAAGTAGGGGCAGGTTTTGATCATTTTTCAGAGTCCAGATGAGGACAGACAAGATTGTAATGGATATTTGCTAAAGTGGGAGCAGATCTTTCAAGCAAGCTCCACAGCTAACAGCTCCCAACAGAACAGAAGACTGGCCCCATCTGCAGGTGTTAATCTGCTTTGAAAATCTGTCCCTCATTTTTTTTTTAGTACAGCATCAGCTATGCCACCACTATTCTCTTTTTCTCTTGTTATAACTTATGGTATTAAAATTTAAGAAAGGAGAAATATGTATTTAGAAAGCAGGTACTTGGAAATAAACCAATCCTGGATGGGGACAAAAAGCCTAGTTTTGTGGGTTTTTAGTTCTAAAACGCTATGCCTCTTGGAAAGCTACTGGGCATAATAAAGCTCCTGTAATTTATTTGTGCCTTCCCAGCACACTGTACAAAGCACCTCCATAAAGGATGCTATTGGATGAAATTAGGGCCCAAGGGAAGAGCTGGAAACTTGCTTGGCAGACCTGATTTCCATACCAGGAATAAAGGAATAGAAAAACTAATTAATTTTACTCATAAAAAGGAAATCCATGTCAACAGTAAAACAGGAAAAAGGACATTCGTTTAATCCGAGTTCATTTTTCAAAAGGAGAGAAGGGAAGCTTTTACCCTTAGGGCATCTGATACTTAAGTAGATAATTATTCTTCTTCTGCAGCACTGCTTTATTATCATGGGTCAACGAACCATTTATAAATGAAGAATTTCCCCTCACTTACCTCTAGCAAAACTGCTGCTTACATTAAGACAATTTTCCTTTCCTCCTTTAGAATTTTTTCCCCAGCAGTTTCTTGCCCTCTCAGACTCACACATGCCTCACCAGCAACTGTTTGTTCTCTACCTAGCTCAGGGCTACAGCCACAAGTATGAATTTTTGCATTAATCATGGTTTCTACAACCTTATATTAACACTGTACTACTTGTCATTGTGATGCATTGTGAAAAACATGGGCTGCTTGAGAGAGCTTTTGTTTCCATAGCACATAGCAGAGGGAGAAGAGAGTGCAGTTGAGTGCTGGTTGTGACCGATGCAGGACATCTGTTTTCTCTTCTTAATTCCGTCACTAATCTGCTCTGTCATCTGGGCAAGTTGTCTCTGTACCTCTCTCTCTCCTCTTCCACACTTTATCTGTCTTATCTGCTTAGATAGCATTTGCCAGTTCGTGCAGCGGATGTTTTCTTATTCAGCTGTGAGGCGCTCTGCTCATGTGGGGCCGCGAAGCGCTCCCGCAATATCAAATGATGCGCCCATACACCATGTTGTTCTGCAAAAAGGATTTTCACTTCCTCCTTACATTACCAAGACTCATTTACAACTCAAACTAGATTTTAACCATATTTCTGTCTTTGAATGTGATAAATAATTCAAAGGCACAATCACACACTGGAGCATCTTTACTGAACTTTCCATCATTTCAAAATAATTCTACAAAGAATAATGATAGAAATTCTGAATCAGAGCTAAATTAACATGAGAATGTAATTAGGACAACATTCAAGTTATATTTAACTATGAATATATAAAAAGGCAAATGTTAGAATGAATTAATGGATTTGAGGTCATTAAGAAAACAACCATCCACTGCAACTTTAGATCATAGTTTTTAACTACAGTTTTTAACGCTAGGATAGTTTTTAACTTTATATCCTGATCAGATTTTAATCTGGATAAATGCTCTATTCACCTCAAATTCTTCCAAAGTTTAAAATTAGATAAACTGTTCACTGCTTTCTGCAATTACCCACTGCAAACACTGCTGTGAACTACTGATGTGCTTCAGGTGACTGTGTATTAAAGACACAAGTGAAAGTGAGTCTGTACTTATGTCTACATGCAATTACTCCTTAGACAGAAACATCTACTGCCATCTGAGATGCCCTGGAGCATCCAGCTGCCACTCCAGAAGGGCAGGAGTCTTCCATACGCCCTGTGTCATATCTGTCAGCCAGGTGGGAAGCCTGAGTCATGTTAGGGTATCTGAAATGGCAGTAGGTGCCTATGTTTGGGCAACAGCCCCTACCTTTACAGAATGGCTCAGCAGGACAAGGGGCTGATACCCAGCAGATGTGCTGCATGATTTGAAGACAGCATTCTGTCTTCAGAAAGTTTGAACTTCATGTTTCCTTTCTCTAACCACCATAATTAATAATTTTGTGATTTCTTCATTCATTCAAAACTGCTACTGACTGATGAAGTTTCTATTTTTAAGCTTTGATGTGCACAGCTGTTACTTCCTTCAAATTCTCTGAGTCAGTCTACATCATTAGAGTACATGCAATTTAATATGTCAACTTCTCCAATTTAAGGAGTGGAAAACCTTCACACCTTATTATAATCTGTGATTGTACATTCCTCTCTCTAGATCTCGGAGGAATCTCTCAGCCGCCTTACTTTTTTTCCTAATACTTAAATACACATACACAAATCAATATGCATACCCTCACAGACACTAAAAGCTGCATTAGAGATTTATTAAACAATTAGGAATGTCAGTATTTTCCAAAGACTACCAGTACATAGTAGACTAAAACTCCAGATATACCAGTGGAAGTGCATAACCATAAAGTAGCAGTAAAGCAACAGTGGATCAGGCCCGTTACCCTCAAACTGAGCTAAAACCTAAGGATGACCTATGATTTCAACAAAATCACTTGACCTCATATTGGGCACAGCAGACCACTCCCTGCACAACCTTGGGCAGGTTGTTTAATGCACCAAAGCCTATGAGCCTCCTCCATAGTTCAAATTAACAGCCTCTGCCTTTCTCTCGCTGTTGGTCTATTAAGATTGTAACCTGTTTGGAAAAGCTCAGACTTGTGGCCAAGCAAGCATGGTTCAACAAGTTCCCACACACCAGCAGAGCAAGGATGCTGAAACACATGTGCCAGCTCTCAGCCCTCAACCGTCAAGATTGCACACATTTCTGTAAATCTCTTTCACTTTTTCATTGACTTTTTAGACCATAATAACTGGAGCCCTTTGAGACTGGCATTCAGAGGCATTCACTGCAATGTGGTTCTGCAAAGGGCACCTGGACACTGTCAAAGCTATGTTCAATTGTGCCAAGCACAAGTACAAATTCCCATGTGCATCTAAGTATTTAAGGATATGCTCACACTGGATAGGTCACTACTGAAAAGTGAGCATTTGTTAACCACATAATGACTTTAAGTTGATCATACAGAGAGGGCTCAGATTCTACAAGAAAAGCAAAACACATGGCCAACATCTGCATGCTGACCACTTCAAATGCAATTTTGCCTCCACTAATACGCATAGAGTGGAGGCTGAAATTGAAAGGCACAGTAGCAATTTTTATTTGCTTTATCTGAATTTTGACTTTGAAGCCAAAATTATTTTAATTCTGTACTTAATTAAGGTCTAAGCTAGGCTCCATGTTCCCTTCAATGGGATTCTGATCAATCCCACGAAGTGCCCATTATAAATTTTCACACACAACTATCAAGGTACGCACGTTCTGTAGTTCTGAAATGTTGGAAAAATGGCCTTTAGGGGGTAAAAAAAAAAGAAAACAAAAAAAAGA